CTATTCGCTACAATTATATCGAGAACAAACAGTATTTATGAAATTTAGCATTTTTCACCAATACAATATAGTCAATGTTTGAAGTTATCAAAAAATGTATGCCGTTTACTCATTAAACTGTCCAAGTAAACTTAATTTCACGGTATAAATCTATTCTACTGAGTTGATTGCATGACATTTCACATAGTGCTGATAAACATTGAGATATTACAATAACTCAAAATCTAGAGGGATGGAAAAATTCTGACTACATTTTTTAAATCAGCACCATGAACTTAGATCACTTGAGTTTTCTCCAGTAGCAAATGTTTTGTTGTCCAGTGTTTTATCAAGCATTATTTCAATCTTTATCAAACTTATATAATGAATTTTTAGATTAAATGAAGAGTCAAAATGAAGCGCTGTGCTATATTAAAAGAACTGATCAGAGACTGACAGCCTCAACTTTCACACACGAACAGTTTTAGGTTAATGATGATATACAGCTAAAAAATCCGTTCGTTCAAAGCATTGAGAGTTTAGTTACGTATAGGCGAGGAAGGGTATTCGTTCGAAATATTGTGAGTTGAGTTATATATAGGCGAGGAGGAGCATTCGTTCGAAATATTGTGAGTTGAGTTATATATAGGTGAGGGGGAACATTCGTTCGAAATATTGTGAGTTGAGTTATATATAGGTGAGGTGGAACATTCGTTCGAAATATTGTGAGTTGAGTTTTATATATATATAGGTGAGGACGACCATTCGTTCCAAAGGTTGTGTAGTCTAATAAAATATTTTTGACGTATTGTTAATTTCCGTTAACTTCTCTTTTAGATTAAATGAGTTCTGAACTGATCAAAGAAACTTCTTTGCAGATATTCCATATAAAGTAGAATATTTTGGAAGAAAACTGGCTTTATAGTATAATCTACGAGCTCAGTTCAAATTAAAGATCTTAACAAGTAAATAATGTTACAAGTAATAATGATTGGTAACATTATTTCTGTTAGAACATCCCCCTTTGGATCTTTAACGTTTCAAACACATCTATCAGTTTTTCGTACAAACAAACAAAATATGATTACGCCCGCTCATTAATATGATCGCGTAACACTCAAAATGTACGACTTAATGTGTCAACCTTTTTGTCGTAGTTGATTTTCAGGCTAATGTTAAATCGGCATCAGTTCTTAAAGTTTCAAGATAATCTGTTTACATAACTTGAGTTGATTTCTAATCTTATTTTAAATCAGTCATAATCCATAATTTCAAGATAACTCTCTTTTATTAATTTGAGTTGATTTTTAAGCTTATGCTAAATCAACCACAATCCATAATGTTTCAATATGTTTCACACTAACTTAACGTGAGCCAATTCCTAGTTATATATTAAATCATCTACAGTCCATAATGTTTTACGGTAATCCACTTTACTTAATTAGAGTTGAATCCTAAACTTATATTAAATTAACCACAGTTCATAATGTTTTAATACAGAGACAATTCTTGAGCTTATGTCAAATGAGCCACAGTCCATAATGTTTCAAGGCAATCCACTTTAACTAATTAGAGCTAATTCCTAAGCTTATATTAAATCCAACGCAATTCATAAAATTTCAAGCTTTTGAACTTCAATTTTTGATAATCTTATCTCCTATAATTGTTTAATATCATGTTTGCTTTCTTTCTTTGTTTGTTAAGGACAAAACTATACAATGGGCTATCTGCGCTTTGCTCACCACGGATATCGAAACACGGTTTTTATTGTTATAAGCCTTCAGACGTACCGCTGAGCCACTGTTGGCTCTACGTTTGGTCACTCTGAGTCGTTCATTATTCTTATTACTATCAATAGATGGCGCAATAAATGTTTTCATTTACTTAACTTAAAACCCATGTCATATTTGGTTTGTTTTGAATTTTGCGCAAAGCTACACGAGAGTTATCTGCTCTAGCCATCCATAATTTAGCAATGATAGACTAGAGGAAGAGCAGCTAGTCAACACCACCCATTGCCAACTCTTGGGCTACTCTTTTACCAACGAATAGTAGGACTGACCGTCACATTATCACGCCTTCACGGCTGAAATAGCGAGCATGTTCGATGTGAAGGGGATTCGAACTCCACGACCCGCATATTTCGAGTCGAGCGCCCTAACCACCAGACCATGCTAAGCCACCCAATTTAGATTATTATCTCATTTTAGGTTGTTCGATTTTTCACAGTATTTTTTATTTTGATGGTCGAAACCTCTTTTGTTTCTTCAACAATTATTCAAAATGTGTGTTAGTAGTGCTTTATCTATTTTTTTCTCATTGCAAAATACCTTCCTGTTCTGTTAGATTTCAAAGGATAAACAACAGCAAATGTAACTAACCAAAACAAACCCCAATACTACAGACATATTAAAACATTGAGTGTTGCTGCAAGGTGTCCTTGAGTATTCTGTGACATTTTCTGGTGAGAGACAATACTTTAAGGGCCGGACTGTTGATTCGACATCCCGTGGTTTTCGCCACTCCCTTGGGTGCCGTGGGTGCGTTATAAGAATTCTATCAGAAAATGTATAAAGGTCTGTTGTCCTGATATTTTTTATCTCAAGGATTTGATAAATTTCCGCAATTCAAAGTTCTCTCCCTGATGTCAGTGAATTTCCATAGGCACACCATACCATGAAACAGTTTTATCGACAAGCTTCTTTGGTAGAGTTTCTGTTGCCTGGTTTGGAACAGCATATGTGTTTATCCACTTGATGAACTAATCCATCATTGCCATAAAGTTTATATTCCCACTGTTACTTTGTGATAGAGGACCATGCAGATCCGCAATAACTCTCTCAGGTGATTCTCTAAACACAATACTGCTGTAGTTTAGTCTCACTCATAGCATAGTCCACATTATTTACACCAACTATCTACAGATTTAAGGCAAATAACGTAATATAAAAGTTCAATTACTCTTCCCAGTGTCTTCTTAATACACTTATGTATCCAGCATTTGGAAGGTTGTGGAGGTGACAGAGTGCCCCTTACTGTAGTGACTGTGAATGGGAGAATCAACTGAAGTTGTAATTTCTGTCCTCTGGCATATTCCCATTTTTGACATGAAAAGCCTTCTCATAGTCACAAAGAATCCCAGTGTGCCTAGTATATCTTTGTTTTTGGGCTATACGGAACCACTGTCTTTCAATTGAGTGTTGGACCATATTAGTCCTCCTTCATATGTCGATGTCTCATCTTAAATGCCCCCCAGTGGCTCAGCGGTATGTCTGCAGACTTACAACGCTAGAATCCGGGTTTCGATACCCGTGGTGGGCAGAGCACAGTTAGCCCATTGTGTAGCTTTGTGCTTAATTACAAACAAACAAACAAATCATCTTAAATTCTGCTTTGATGCACTTTAGGTTGGTCATATTTATTATCATGTGCTTTCCTCTCTTTTCTCTTTTTGCAGTTTTTACGGTATTAGACAATACACGATCTTTAGGATAATGCATCGTACTATCTGGCCTTCTGTATTGTGAAAGTTTCTCAGCCACTTTAATGTTGCACGATATTTCTTGAGTTTTGTCTATTTATATAGTGATGAAAATGACTTAATTTTCGAAGGTAAATTAGAAGTTTTTCTGAATTGTACAATATCTTCTTTCTGCACCATTCATTGTTAAAGTTAATAATTACGTATACCTTCCCATGTTGTACATTTCTCCCAATGTAAAATCACTGGCATATGTATTTACTATAAGTGGATCTTCAAGAATTAGGTATGTTAATTAAATATTAGTGATTAGTTTTTCTTTAGTTTATTGGATGTTTTTTCACAACGAGCAAGCAGTCCAGCAAAGCGTGTTTCATTTTTCTAATACTTTGTGTAGAGAAAAAGCTATATTAGAAAATAATTTTACTAATTAGTGATAGTATGAGTACAGTCCTACGAAACCTGTTACCTCGTGCAAGTTAGATGGTGTTGGAAAATTTAAATAGATTCACTCTTGGTTAAGCCTAAATACATTCCCTCTACGTTGACTGTGTGTGTTCCAGAAAATATACTTGTTAACAGAACAATTCCTATTTTGTATTTAGCTTAAGATTCTTTTAATGAGTTTAGTACTTCCCTCACTCAGCTCATCACAAGTATCATCAAAGGTCTTCCAACGTGTGATTATGTCATTCAAGTAGATGAATACGTCATTACAGAACAAGTCAAATAAAACACACTCTATTAGTCATAGAAATGTAGCAGATTCATTGGATAATCCACATTGCAACACCAAAATCTACCACAACCCACTTCCTGTAGTAAAGGCTATTTTTTCTGTGCTTGCTTTGTCGACTTGCCGTTTTGGATCCAGTGCTAAAAACCAATTCAACCAAGATAAATCATCCTAAGTATAGTCAATCATTGGACATGAGAGAGCATTCTGCTTTATGACTTTATTCACCTTCTGGTTGTCCACACAGATTTTTATGGTTCCACCATTCTTTACAAGTACAATAGGTGATATCCAAAGGCTAGTACTTCTATTACTTCTTGTTCTTTCATGGCTTCTATTTCTTCGAGAGCCTCAGCCTGTTTTGCAAGTGGAACTCGTTTGGACACTGTTATAATGGGGTTGTGTCTCCATTATCAGACTTATTATATATTTTATTTGTCTGTCCTTAGTCATGAGATTCAGTGGAGAAAGTATCTTGGTATTCTATGAGCAATTCATGTAATATAAGGCATTGATGAGTTGTAAGACCTCTACAGTTCAAGTCATAAAACTCCTCTAAGTGAGATGGTAATCACCTTCATGTAGAGACATGATATTATAATTCTCTAAGTTTACTACTTTTGGTGTTCTTTGATATGGAAGTACTACTGGAAGATCTTCACATCTTGCAAGGTTCCACCCTGAATTGACTGTGTCTGAAGCCTAATATTTTCTGTTTTTGTATGAAGTTTATTCCTAATATGCACTACTTTTTCGATTTCAATCACGAGAAGTAGAGAAGCTTTCTACAATGAGGGTGACTTTCAACTTTCTTCTTGTTCGAACTTTATGCTCACTTGCTGTTCACATCATTCTATCTCTTTTCTTCATCTCTGGATGTAAGTTTTATCTATCATTACCTGAATGGTTTGAGCAATCGTAACTATAGAAACACTGTCAATCAAAATTTTCTCACCAATGAACCCAGTACCTGTGGGCTGTTTTTTTTTTCCTCTTTTTCTTCAATAATGAACTTCGTATCTGAATTGGGACAGGTAATTGCTATTTCTCTGTATCTGTTTAGATCTTTGTTGTTCTTTAAATGTGGCTGGGCTCTGGGACTCGTCTTTAGAATATTTTCTTATATTTCTTCTGTACTTTGCCTTGGTAACTTTTTTTCTGGTGTATCACTCCAAAACTGTTTGATAAGGCAACCACCAACGTTTGATAATTGTTACGACTCTCAGATGGAAGATTTATTAATTTTCTTAAGGCTAGTAGTCCTTTAAAGGACAGCGAGATGAAAGGCTTGTTGTTCACTACTCCATCCATTCACTTTACCAATGATTTCGAAATGCGCCTGATATGGCTGGCACATTATTTTTCTCTCATAACCTATTGGTTTCTCAACTGAGAGATGTCTTTAAACTAGCAAACTAACATTCTGGAACTTGATGAGGTAGCAATATAGTTGAAGTAGTTCTGTAGTTAGAGATGGCACAGCAGTGCCACTAACAGGTGTAAAGGAAATGGATTCTTAGGTTCCATATTTCATAGTTAAATGTGTTTGAGGAGGAATTCTTGAGCTAATACAGAAAGAGTTATGGCTGGTTTCATCATTGCATTTTCCTGATGTTTTATTCTATCTCGGATACTGTTATGTATCTCATTGATTTTAGCTGTTATAATGTTCCTGCACTTCGTTGGTGTCTTTTTGAACTTCTTCAAATTTATTATATTATTTCTGCACTTTATAGGTGTCATGCACGTGATGTCACAAAACTTCCTGTTTCATTTAATGCCACCATATTGGACGTCAAATATTCCCTTTTAGCAGTTAACAGCAATCCATATTAGAACAAGATTCGGTAAAGAATTACATGATACCAGTGGCGTAAACATCATCTTTGGCAAAATATATGGATCCGAAACTTTATGGCTCTTCGGTTTCTCGATATATCTCTCTTTATACACATTGCTATGATTTAGTTACAACGATATTAGAAGATACAGTTGTCAATCTTCACCTAAGACGATTGTAAACATTTTATGTACAATATAGCAGAGTAAACTATTGATCATGTAACTTTTTGACGTCACTGCAGGCTCTCAATGGATTGTTTTTTAATTATTCAGTTTTATAATAACAGTCTTTCTGCCTTCATAGATGTATTTTTCTATTACTTTTCCGTTTATAATCTTTCTACAAATATTAAAGATTTTCTTCGAACTTTTTCTTAACAACTATTTTTGTCTTAATTCTTCTTTAGATCTTACAACATCTTTTCCTTTGAACTCCTTTCTTAAATTGCTGCCTCTTTCTATAACTTTCTTTTTGATGTTCATTTTCTATTTGTATTTTTTCTTGTTCTTCTATTAATTTGCTGCAAATTTATTTTTGATCTTTTTTTTGTTTAATTTCTATCTCTTTCTTCTAGATCTTCCTTAACTTCTGTATTTTTCTTCTTGATAAACTTCTAGAAAATTTTCAATCTCACTTCAAACACTTGTCGCCATTATAATGTTTGGTCTTGATTCTTTATTGTTTTTTCTAAAATAATCCCATTCCTGATACTAATGTTGTAATGGTTTCTATCATTGAGCAGATTCTTTTTATTATTAGGTAAAATAATGTACAGCGGTATGTCTAGGGACTTAAAACGCCAGAAACCGGGTTTCGATACCCGTGGTGGACGAAGCACAGATAGTCCATTGTGTAGCTTTGTGCTTAATTCCAAACAAAACCAAAACCCCCAAAAAAATAATGTAAAGCATAGGCCACTTAACAAACAGGAAATTATTTTATTTCTTTTACTGAACGTTTTACAATTTACACGGTTTCACGAACTTAATAATTACTAACCAATAAGCCTAACTAACAAACAAATAACACAAAACAGTTTCTTAATTGTTAAATTTCCTTTCGTATCTACTGTACAAACTCAAAACTGAAAAATTAACAGAATCACCGACTAACTAGCTAACCAATTCTCTAGAACATTCGAGACGTCATTAGTACGCCACGTCAAAGCTAGACACATAAGAAATTTCTAGGAGTCATACATCATCACTACGTCATGCCCAAACTCTCCCTTGCAAACAATACTCGTGGTGGGCATAGCACAGGTAGCCTATTGTGTAGCTTTGTGCTTAACAACAAACAAAGAAACAAACAATACAAAATATCTAAATTAAACTATTGGCACATAGTTCACAACAATTTACTATACCTTATAATATCCTCGAAAAGATATACCACTGAAAGGCAGATAGTTAGTACAAACCCCAGCAAAAATGCTAGGTTTACAATACGTATTATTTTTTATCTTCACGTTACTTTGAAAGGTTACATTTGAATTATTTTTCATTTTTTAAAAGGTGAGTAATTGATAAAGATTAATTATAATTTGTTATTAAGCACAAAGCTACTCAATGGGCCATCCGTGCTGTGCCCACTGCGAATATCGAAACACGATTTTTAGCGTTATAAATCATCACATTTGCCGCTTTACCACCGGCGGAGGTGGGCTGTATACGTATATAGATATTGT